CAAGTCCATCCCTTCTTGACCTCAAACGCCTTCGATTCGATCAGAGCATCCGGCCCAGGATCAGCGCTCCTGGCCAGCCTGAGCTCGTACTGTCCTGGCGTGACTCTCCAACAGCCTTGTTTGGACGCTTCGGGATCCCAGAAAGAGACTGCCTCTTGCTCGATATTCAGACTTGCAACTTTGGTCTGTCCAGCGCTCACACGCACGATTTGGAATGCCGCCAGCTGCTTCAGCCCAGAGCTCACGTCAGCATCCACATCGAATGACCCAACATTTGGTGCTGAGATGCCACTCACAGATTGAGCCGGTCTATCCGTCCCACGAATTGCAGCCTTGGGAGGAGACACGAAGAGCAGAACAACTTCCTTGCCATCTCGCTTGCCAGTATTCGTGACTTTGACTTTGAGGCTTAGAACTCCGTCTGCATGTTCGCTCAGCTCTCCCGAGATGTCTTCGATGCTAGTCTCAAACGTCGTGTAGCCACCAAGACCATGGCCGAACCAGAAAGCAGGTGCGAAGCCTCTTGCTGCGTAGCCTGCGGCGCCCATCAACCTTCCCTCCTTGTAATCTGTGCAAAGCCCATCGTCTCCTCTTCGCGTGCCGGGAAACGTAGATCCATCTGCTGACCAAGATGGATGATCCGAAATCTTTCGAGCTGTCGCCAGAGGCAGTTGCAGCTAGCGTCAGCTTCAGCTCGACTCAAAGTCCACTCAAAGTGGTCTGCCTAGCACTCACGCCAAGTAGACGGCAAACGACCAGAGGCTGGCGCGCTGCCCAAACCAAACAAGATGTCTGCAATCGCATTTCCGCTCTCTTGACCACCAAACCAGGTCTGCACAGCGGCTTTGACCGCATCTTTGCCCTCGAGCATCGGCAACTCGACAGCAGCACCCGTGATATTGATCAGGACGGTCTTTTCTTGCGCCTTTCTCACAGCAGTGACCATATCTGTCTGACGCCTCGGCAGAGCAATTCCTGGCCTGTCAAACCCTTCGCTCTCCCACTCTTTTCCCGTAGCAGTAAAGACAATGGCCACATCTGCATCTCTTGCAGCGTCCGCCGCATCGCTGATCAGCCTATCCTCGTCAATCTCTTCGACAAAGG